TTTTCTCAACTCTCATGGCCCGGTCAAACGAGAACAAGAGTTGCATGAAAGTTGATGAGGGTTGAGAACAGAGAGTTTGCATGAGACTAGCTAGCTAGAGTTGAGAAACTCTCATGCAAACTCTCGGTTCTCAACTCATGCCCCGATCAAACGAGAACAAGAGTTGCATCAGAGTTGAGAAACGAGAGTCTGCATGAGAGTTTTCTCAACTCTCATGGCCCAGTCAAACGAGAACAAGAGTTGCATGAGAGTTGAAAGGATATTACAGCGCGCGTAGCGACAACTTTCATCAACACCCATCAAATTAAAATTTGAACCAGTTCAAAGTTGATGAGAGTTGATGAAAGTTATTGTTACCTACCTACTAACTCCAACTGGTTAAGCGGTCCAGGCACGTTACTCATTACCATACAACACGATCTATTGATTGCATAATTTGAAATTCGAGCAAGGAACGTTGGGATAGTCGCAATAAAATACTTAAAAAGAAACCCAAAGACAATATATTCGGTCGAATTCTTCATCATATCCATACGACGCTTCGTGGCCTTGATGCGCTCGGTTAAGGTGGGGAAAGCTACTGGTAAGCTGAAGAAAACTCCGGTTGAATTATTTTCCAGGGGGATTCGGCCCTCGGAAACACTCGCCATCGTTCGGTTGTTGATCGTGACAGCGATTTGTAAATCGGAAGGAGCCGTCACTCCAGTGCTGGTGAGGTATCGACGCATTGCACCCGCTAGGCAACCTGTCAGAACGTCGTTAACTGTTGCACCTGCAGAAATGAAAGGTAGTTCATTGAGGAATGGAATGTACGTAGTCGCTTTTACTACAACCTTTTGTTATCCATGCTAAAACTAAACTAACAGTTACAAATTATTTTACCTAACCTGGAGGTCCAGTAAAGATCATCTCTTATTGATCCAGTGTTATTACAGGAAGAAACCTAAATAAAACTAACTTTATTTATACTGGATAGCTCTATCAGTTCTAAACTGTTCTTCCTAGGGGTCCAGTAAGGATCATCTCTTATAGATCGCAGGAGGAAACTTAAACTAAACTAACTCTATACTCCATGCTCTATCTGTTCTACTAAACTGTTTCCCCTAGAGGTCCAGTAAGGGTTATCCTTAAACTACACTAACTTCATACTGGATAACTCTATCAGTTCTAAACTGTTCTTCCTAGAGGTCCAGTAAAGGTCATCTCTTATTGATCCAGTGTTATTATACAGAAGGAAGTATAGGAACCTAAACTAAACTAACTTTCTAAATTGTTCTTCCTAGACGTCCCAGTAAGGATCGTCCATTATTGATCCAGTGTACTACAGAAGAAAACTGTACTACCTGGAACTATAAACATGTACTGTTGGGGGAGTCAAATTGAGGTGAAATTGCAACATGCAGTATACAGCAGAAATGGAACTGCAGTGATTGAGGTCACTGGTAGAAAACTTAATTGTGACACCGCATCAAGACTTACCAAATCTATTTTTGCATCTTTTGATGTCAGCCAAATCGAATGGCTTCGTCCAAGCAACTTTGATCTGCCCCATCAAGTCCGTGCGACGCCTGAACGGGTTTTCGATGGTAGAAAAAAGTAAAGAAAGCAACACCAGCGGGCCTGTGAAAATCGCGCGAAGTATTCGTCTTGTGCTGCTCACAACCACCGGTCTCTTCACGCTCGGGGTTAACAGGATAGGTTGGTTATCCACGACTTTTGAGAATAAACCAACCAGCGCATATCCGTCACCAATCGTATGGTGAATCCGGACACAAATTGCAAACGTTTTGGCACCAGATTTTTTACCGCGCGGTATGATAATAATTTGCCAGGGTGAGATGCGATTGGGTATTTTTTGGTTAATGAGTCCGCTATAGCATTTTGCTAACTCTTTATCGTTGCAAGGCGGTTGCCCTTTGTACATGAATATATGTCTTCTGATGTCAAAGTTCTCCTCGTCGCGTCGAATATACCGTCCCATTTTGCACTGTAAGCATTTTTTCAATCGCAGGTAACTCTCGTCTGTGCCTTGAAAGATTTTCGTGCAAAACGCTCTGCGCAAAACACGCACGCTAAGGATACCATTCACGGTAAACAAGCACGTTATAAAATTCTGTGGGTTCGACTCCTGTGCAAAAGGTACGTCTTTGGTTGATAGGATTTGGCCCATTTTCCAAAACAGAATCCACGTAGCAGCTGCCCATTGGAAAAGGACAAAAACCAGCCATATTGGCAGAGCTACAGAGGCTACAGGAAGGGATAAGAGAATGGCTAGGATGCATAATGTCGTGTGTATTATTGTTGACTGTAAATCTTGGACTAAAATCCTGTAGATATTCATGGCGCCTTCTTCAAGTCGTGACTAGTTACCTAAAAGAAAATATTAAAGGAATACCGAATGGTTTTCCGTGCAGGATTGCGTGATCCATGCACGACTGGGATGTCGCGAGACTTTCGGAAAGCGTAAAAATACTCGAGGCGCAGGCGAGTGTATTTTTACGCTTTCCGAAAGTCGAGTAACATCCCAAGTGCATGGATCGCGCTATCCTGCTTGGAAAACCATTTGGTAATTGTTTTATAAATAACTACAGTGAAACAATGACATTTTGTGAATCCCGCGAAGGCATTTTAATTCCTCGTGCAGGATAGCCTGATCCTGCACGGCTATTAACCAATTAAATTGCGTGTTTCATTGTAGTTATTATATAAAGTGTGTTCAGGCAGCTTCCAGTGAAGTGTTATTCATACTGCGTACACGCACGGAAATGTTTAAATCCATTTAAGAGTTTCTTATGAAATATTTAAACGAATAAAAGCACAGCATTTAGGTTTGTATGTGATTAGTGAATTTGTTGAGGTAATAGACCTTACCGTTTATTCACTTTGAACGCAAAATTGCAATGCGCAAAACATTACAAAATAGTTGCAATGCGCAAATTATTACAAGATTGCAATGCGCAAAACATTACAAAATTGCAATGCGCAAAACATTACAAAATTGCAATGCGCAAAACATTACAAAATTGCAATGCGCAAATCATTACAAGATTGCAATGCGCAAAACATTACAAAATTGCAATGCAAATTGCAATGCGCAAAGCATTACAAGATTGCAATGCGCTTTTGACATTACAAAATTGCAATGCGCAAAACATTACAAAATTGCAATGCGCAAAGCATTACAAAATTGCAAGCGTAAACATTACAAAATTGAAATGCGCAAATCATTACAAGATTGCAATGCGCAAAACATTACAAAATTGCAATGCGCAAAACATTACAAAAGTGCAATGCGCAAACTGACAGAACGGCTAATCATATAGAATAAAATTTATGATAGTATAGAAAAGGAATAATTACGGCCCTCACGTCTACGTTTTAAGGATGGAATGGAGATGTTAATTAAACTAGTTCAACAACAACGTAATTCAAGATTTACAAAAGCGACTAAAGTTCACATGATGCAATGTTCTTTTTCATGCACGTTCGTGTACACGTGCTTTCACGTGATGTGAGCAGGATACGACGGGAGAACAGTGGGATTGTCAAAACAATGTCAATGAATGAGCTTAGTCTTAGAGCATTCTGATTACTGGATCATCTCGCAGGTTCAAATCACAGTTCAAATGCAGCTTATAAATACGTACACGGCAAAACACCTTATATCAAGCATGCGGGAAAGTAGACCACACAGGCGGGCGCGGGCAAATCGAGCCTGGGTCTCCTGTGAGTAGACTTGCCATAACACGCCCGCAAGCCGCAAGATTATAAAAAAAAACACACGGCTAAAATTTAAAAAATAACAAAAATAAACTAAGAAACACATCAAACAAAAAAAAAGGCAAAAACTAATTTGACTTTACGATCTCGTACACTTTTTAGGAGTGATTTGCCCTGTGGATTTGCCCCTCGGCAGTCGGCACGAGAACCAACAGTCCATACTTTTGCATACCTGTATTAGAGTGTCCCTATATGTCGTGTGTCGTGTGTCGTGGGTTAAAAGTCGTGTGTCGTGGGTAAAGTCGTGGGTAAAGTCGTGGGTAAAGTCGTGGGTAAAGTCGTGGGTAAAGTCGTGGGTAAAGTCGTGGGTAAAGTCGTGGGTATGTGCTAAAAACGCATTTTTTCATATTTTTATTTTTAATATTTTTTCGTACTTTTTCCTTTTATGCGCTAGATAAATACAGGAAAATTTAACGCAACAAATCTCCAGTAATAAAATAATTTCTTATCTTGCTGTTATCTATAGTATAACAAGTAAACGTTTCCATTTTGTATAGTCTAATAAGTCTATAAATGTATTGTTTGATGATAAAATGTCCTAAGTTATAGGATATTAAGATATAGGTTTATTAGCTTTGGAAGTGTTCAGTAGTCCCTATCATGAACGTCGCAAATAACTACATCGATTGCATACTGTCTTATGCAAACATATTGAGCTATAAATTCTACGCTGTATAAGTGGCCAACGCTCGAGCCTCAAATTTTGCTATTTTATCTCCTAGAACAGCTAGTATATGTTCGTGGCCCTTAAAATTATAGACAAACAATTTCATGTTTGAATGCTGTTCTTAGGATATGTGGCGTTCGGAAATATTCCATAAATTGAAAGAGTAAGAGTATGTGGCGTTCGGAAATATTCCATAAATTGCTACGATTTGGGATTTCCCGATTGAAACCCGAAATTTGTGCGATGTCGGGCTATTTGCCAACCGAGCGCGCTCAGAGCCGCTGTTATTTTGACAGAATATGATACCTCTACACTTTTCAGCCGTAATACAAATGCGCGGATTGTAATCACATATTGATGAATTATTCATATCGTTTAATTTCAGGGGCGGATCTAGGATTTTTCGTACCTCAGTCAAAAATTTTTGGCGGACGGGGCGTTGTCAGCGCGGGGCGTCGTCAGCGCTGGGCGTAGTCTCGACTGGGCGTGAAAAACGTATTTAGATTAAATTTAAATTGATAAGAAAAACATTGTAAGAAAAACTACAAATGCACAAAGATATATTGATCCTATTCCGATACAAAATTTTATGGATATATTACTATGATATAGTACATTAAAACTCAGCAGCAATTTAATAACATGTTTGCCTGTGGATTAATCAATCGTCGTCATATTGATACTATATACCTATAAGTGTATCATTGTAAAACTTGTAAAATCATATGGCAGCAAATGCATTAAGGAAATATACTGTTCTGTTACCAAAAACGCAGAACTATACAAATAATTGCTAGTAGCCTCAGATCCAAAAAAACAACCAGATATTCATTAACTAAGTCAAACACTATTACATTAACAAGATATAAAGATGTTATGTCAAATATTAATAAACTAGTTACATGAGAATGGCTACCAGTCAATGAGCTTTTCAAGCTAGCTTATTAAATATTTCACATCATCATGTTACACCAGACCAATGCGGTCTAACAAGCCGTGTCGATAGGCTATGGACAAACAGTATTCTATAAGGCCGACATGTTGTGTGATCGATGCATAAATATAAATAAATCTTAAATAAAACTTCACTATAAACACGAGAATCAACAAATGCTTACAATGTGGACATTGAATAAAACATATTTTAGCTTCTTGACGCGAGAATTATGCTAATACAGCATAGCGAATATTAAAATATCATATGTCAAACAATCATTAACAACACCGACGGCTTTGGTTCTTCGGTTTAATTAATATAAACTAAAGATACATCATTATAAAACCATAAATTGCTCTACCTTATTGCAGTGCAAGCTTTGTCTTTCTTATCTCGAACATACTTCGGAATGTAGCTCTCTGCGCCAAAATTTCTAGCGAGGCTTCTGCTTGTGTTGTTGATGGCGCTCACTTTGCCGTTCAGTAGCTCGTCAACAGAATTTGTCCGTGAAGCATCGATATTTTTCTCAAGCTCGGTATACAAACGTTGTAGAGATTCTAAATCGTTTGCCGCAATCGCAAACTGAATATTGTCGAAATTGTTTCCAGATATCGCTGGCAGAGATCGCTCGTAAAAATATAATAGTAAAATTCCTCACATGCCAGACGTTCGAAATAGTAAACATTCAGGAGGTATAAAACACCAAATGCCGCGTTGACGAATACCCCACGCTGCGAATCAGTCGGAAATATAAGCCAATGACAGCGCAGAATATTTTTAAATGGTTCAATCAGAAGATTCATACAGAGCCCCTGAATCTGCAAATCCGTCAGGCCTCCCCACAGATCCGTCGCAAATGGCTGTAACCATGGAAATGAGCGCGTCAGCCAATGAGATAGCCGGATTCAACCACCGAATCCGTCAACATTCATGCGTAAGACCGCTGTTCGTGACTGACTAACATTACTTTGCCGAAGCTATGCCGCAGCATGAAACGTATAACTGGACTACGATTCAAAATTTTAATAACTCGATCTACTGGCCGCTATAGATAGCTGGAGTCGATTTTTTTTAATTAAGTAGGCAATTTTTACTTCAGTCGCGCGACTGACTTGACGACCCCTAGATCCGCCCCTGTTTAATTTAGCTTCAAAAACTTGTTTTGTTAAATGTAAAATGCGCAGCATGTTGCGTACATTATCAAAAAAAAAAAGGTTGACTTTATTCGACTGAAATAAGCAAGATTTCCCGTTACATACATGATTTATACCAAGGCGGCTTTGCATGTGCTCTGCCTTTGGCAACTGACTATGACACCATTGCGGTCCGCGGGAACGAACACGAATAACATGTTTTTGAAGCTAAATTAAACGATATGTATATGATTACAGTGCGCGCTGAAAATTACGGCTGAAAAGTGTAAAGGTATCATCATATTCTGTCAAAATAACAGCGGCTAGCGCGCTCGGTTGGCAATTAGCCCGACATCGCCGACAAATCATTTCGGGTTTCAATCGGGAAATCCCAAATCGTAGCAATTTATGGAATATTTCCGAACGCCACATACACATGAAATGTTTCGGTCTATACCTTTAATTTAAGGGCCACGAACATATACTAGGTCTAGGAGATAAAATAGCAAAATTTGAGGCTCGAGCGTTGGCCACTAATTATA